TTATTCATTATTTTAATATTAATAATAAACCATTAATACGTTTAATTATAATAATATTGTTGTGCCGAGCTGGGACGGAACGGAGACAAAGGCGCAGACGTATCGGGGAATATGGGGTTTAATTACAGGTAAGGCAGGCAAAACGCAGACGGATAATACAATGACCAGACTGGGGAAAGAAACTAAAACGCGGACGAAATACAGAGGACTAATGACAACAACCAAAAACAGCTGATCACAGGAGGATTCCACACGGGGTTAACGAGGGGGCGTGGCACACGGAAGGAGCGGACGATCGGGCCAGGACACATTGTTTGGATACATTTATTTTCTTACTTTACAAATTACTGTTTTGATAAATGTGCTTAGTTATGTTTAGTACAGTATATGCTCTTCTTGTTTTATCCGGTTCATTTTGTGTTTAAATGCTTAAAAAAAACATATTTAGGTGTAATTTTTTGGGGCCGGGAACCAATTAATTGGTTTTTCATTATTTCTTATGGGGAAAATTCGATCACGACTTGAACTTTTTAGGATTCGATCCGGAGTTCTAAACGGATTAAATTCGAGTTCTGAGGTACCACTGTATTTTTTGACTTTATACAGTTACAAAGTTTAAGTACATATTACATTACTTCTATGTTGCACCGAGGAAACCAGGAGTATGAATTATCAATCAGACATCTGTGAGTAAGAAATAATATTCACCCCCCACCTAACTGCCAACAGCACCTGTGACATTCGACAAAGAAAATCTGTTACAACTTAAAGAGAATAACTCCATGTCTGGCTCTGCCTTCGATGACCAAAGATGATGCATTTCATTGCAGTTTTTTTGATCCAGGAACACAGGATTTACAATGCAGGTCTAACAAAAAAGATTCATATACATTAATTAAAATGTCTAATCCAAAACAGATTAACACTAACCTAATCTTATCAAAGCAATGCTTTTCTTGCTTGAAACAGGTCTTAAAATAAAATATTAAAGTACTAAAATGAGTCGAATACCATGTCATTACAGGAAGAGAATAACTAACCCACAATAAATCATACTCTGTACTTATATCACTATAGGACTCTGCAAAACTGACGCAAACAGTGAAGCAGTATTTTATCACTAACCACAATTTTGGAAAGTAAATACAATTTAAGAAACTGCTTATCATATACAGTCTTTGGGGTGAGTTAATGAAAAGTTGCACTGCAATGTTTAACAGAACTCCTAATCAGAAAATCGATTCACCTTTGGTTTTTACAGTGTATTGATACTTGGTAAATCCTAATATTGCACAAAAAATATGTAGAGAGTTCGATTTGTTTATCATCATGTCCAACTATTACGATAATACTATATAATATTAATCCTTTGAAATAATAAGCTAGAAACATGACAAAATTGGTATATAGAAGACATAAATCTCATCAGCCGGATTCCTTATTAAATGAAGAAAAATAAATAACAAAGCAAAACAGCATAAATCTGAACCCACACTGGAAAGGCAAATAAATATTTTGAAAATACTAACATTAGATTAAAATGGATAATGGTAAAATCCTGTACAGATATATATGCACCCTAGATAATGAAAGTTCAAAGTTTATCCAGAGTTACACTGCAAATATCACTCAGAATGACCACACATATAGAAAACAGAGAGATGATTCCTGATCTGAGACTGGGCACAAAAAGCCCAGAATTAACATAGTGCACAGACTCATGGGAATGTATACAGTTAAGTGTAAAAGGCTGGCACAAGCCAATGTGCCGCCCGACCCAAAGGGGTCTTGGAATGATTTCAAGTTTTCAGTGGATTTTTCATAATTTCATGTCACAATCTGGCTACTCCAGGACACTTTTATAGGGCACTCAATTAGGTTCTTTAAAACCTAAAGTAAATCAGATCGTTCTGTTTAAATTCTTTAACGCTTCATTGTTGTGATTACTTCCAGTCACTGACTTTTAAAACTACAAAAATCTTGTCTCTTTGGCCCTAATTCTTGGCCACTATTTCCCCCAGTGCTCCAAAATCACATCTGAACAGTGCTGTGGGTAGCTGAGGTCCAGGAGATTCATTACATCATTATACATGAGAATAAGTATATTATATGGCCAAACATATGCAAACACCCCTACTGATTAGAAGAATTGGGTAATTAAGCCACAGCCATTTGTGACACAGATGTGTAATTAAGCACAAGGCTATACAATCTCCAGCAACAAACAGCAGCGGCAAAATGGGCTGTCATTTGGAAGAGGTTAATGACTTTCAACTTGGCAGCATCACAGGACATCATCTTTGTAAAAAGTTTGCCAAATTTCTGCCCTGCTGGGGCTGCCCTAGTCAACCACAAGAGAAGTAAGTGATTGTGAAGTGGAAGCAAAGGGCAGCAGGTTCAGTCACTACACAGAAAGATGCCTTATCACCAAACATAATACTGAATGGCAGGCAAGTCCCACCAGCAATGTTCCAACATCTAATGAAAAGCAGAAGCTATTATAGCAAAAAAAAGATCTACCAACGTCATTAACACCCTTGGTGTTAGAATGAGATGTTGGACAAACTCGCGTCCACATATTTTGGCCATATAGCATAATAAAAAAAGCATACTTTGCAATTATGGGTCATGGATATTTGTGGTTTAAGATACCAGAAGCATTATTTAAAAACACGAATGTCAGAATCTGCATACTGACATTAATGTAGCTGGGGCTTTAAAAGGAGCAGAAAGATGAAAAACACCACTCAAAAAACACAAATATACTGCATATAAAATTACAGTCCTGGAGAGCAAACTAAACTGTTTGATCAGTGAACCTTTTTAACCATAACATTTAGTCATGTTTGATTAAAAAATGATAACAATCCCATCTCCTTGCTCTTGATATGTGAGCATCATAAAGCATCTGGATTAAGACCCAGAAACCTGTCACTGAATTCAAGACAATAAAAGTCTATAGTGCTAAATAAATACTTAATGTACATAAACAGCAGTGGTACACATGTCTAAGCTTGATAGTTAAGCAATACTCTGACTGGTTAAAGTTTCGAAATAATAAAGCTTACAAATGAATTTACTGAAGATCCTACTGGAGTCTCAAATGTGTGAATGTCCAGTATGAAATGTATCAGTAAATATGTAACTCCATTCCATGGAGAACTACAGTCATATTGAAAACATTTTCCTTCAGTATTCTGCAATACGTCTTTTTCTAACACTATAGAAAAGAATAAACAACAATATTACTAATTTATAAAGCAGTGTGCTAAAAAAAAAAACTTAAATTCTCTTAGATTTTGTGCAAACACTGTTCAATTTGCAGGAATCGAAAGAAGACAGTGAGAACAATGGTTTCAAGCCCAATAATAACTTCCCAGGAGGTCAATGTTCCCACAGCTAGAGGGTGGGTGACACTCGAACCCCAGTGACACATTCCGCGTCGCGGTCACATGCTCTGCGTGTGTCATCTGGAGGTCTTCATCTCGCTGCTCCCTGGCATGTACAGGTACCTCCAGATGGCATAGTAATGGATGCCAGCTCCGATGGCCACGAACAGATGCCAGATAGCATGGGCAAAAGGTATGAGGCCGTCGCTTTTGAAGAAGACCATCCCCAGGCAGTAGAACATCCCACCCACTATCAGCTCGAATAAGCCGTCCCTGTTAACCTGGATGAGAGAAAGGGCCACACTCAGCATTAACAGCAAGACCATTCATTCATTCATTAATTCATTCATTCACCTTTATCTTACCAGGCAAAGCATTAATGACAGCCTGGCAACACCATGAAAACACGGTAAACGGTGTCCCCGCCTGCCATCAACCGCCTACCACTGCTGACATGCATTTTTACAAAGGTGTTGCTTACAGCATATTTTTTTCAAACTCAAAACCTCAAAACTCAAAAAAATCTGAAGATCCTGCACCCGTAAAAACCATTGGTAAGAGTCAATACTTCATACCTCTTCACACATATAGCAAATGCAGTTGACGAATGCAGAATTAATATTATTATTATTATTATTATTATTATTATTATTATTGTCATCTCCTTACCATTGAGAGGATCACCAGTGCAGGGAAGACACCCATTACTGTATAACATATCAGCTCCACAATCTTGTACCTGGGTGGCAACCAAAAAATTAGTTATTTCCAGTCACAAAACACTTTACAAGTTTACAAAACACTTTTTAAAATAAAGTGCAGTTTGTCAGGTGTTTGTTTAATGATAATGATAATTAGTCTGTAATTAGTTGTTTCTACAGTAGGTGGCCACACAGCATTATAAATTATCAGTGCGGTAGTAGGTAGAATAATACATTTGATTTGTAAAATAATGCTTTACAATATCATTTAAGATCTGAGGTGTACTAAAAATAAATTTTACTCATTTTAAATAAGTGATGAATATTACGGGAAAAATTACTTGGACAGAATAACTCAACAAGTCTGTGAAAAATTCCAACTATCACTTGAGCGTTGTCATTTTTACACCTATTTCCCGTTTTAATGGAAATACTTTTAAAGTTGGCGAATCTTAAAGGCTGCATTTATTTTCTTTTTCTTATTTGTGAAAATTAAAATTAGGGCTGAGAATCAATTTTTTTAAAAGGAACTAATTAATTGCACTATTTTCTATGATTTACTGTAATTAATCGCACACAATATTAAAACTTATAATCATAAATATTTATAAATTAAATCCACAAATTAATGTTGAGTGGAGTCCATGGGTCATTTTCACAAACGTATTACACTGCAATATATAAATTTTCTTAGATTTTTGAAATTACTTTGAGGACAGGCTCAAATGATACAACTTCACTGTCTAAACTGTCAGTTGAAGTTAAGGTAGTGTCAACTGTACAATACAAAGAAGACTTTATGCAACTTGTAAGCAAGTACAAGCTGAATTTCAATGCTTTCAAAGAGGCTTCATAAACAGATACCAATAACAAAAGTGATGGCATTGCATTATAAGTAGGGATGTTAATTTTTTTTTTTTATCAAACAGGTTGGTGATTAATGGCATATTCCACTTGTTTATATAATCAAATGTACTTAACAGGCGGATCGAAACATTTAATCCCGACCGCATGATTCATCAAAATCTTAAACCTATTTGGCAAATGGCTGTAAAAAGAGAAGCCTGGCAAACACTGAAAGAACACTTTATAACAAGCTTTAAATAAAATAAACACTGAAAATTACAATATTTTTTAAAATCTGATGTATGCCTCCGCTTGGCACTTTTTAAACGCGTAATAAACCAGGTAATATGAGCTTCCCCGTGACACGCTAACTGAATGTTTTGATTTTAGCTCTGATTTCTGGGAAACTGTGGAACATCGTGACCTAAACTCTCAGGAAGGAATATTATAGGTCTCTATTAAAATCTGTGCTCATACTATTCTCCCATTTGCGTAACAAAACACTGCATGCATTAACACGATCAACGGAAAAATGACGCGTTATGACCTTGAAATTAACGCAACGCATTAGTGCGATTCATTTCCCAGCCTTAAATAAAATACTTGTCTGTGTCGACAGAAGGGTTGCCCTTCACCTCAAGTCCGTACAACTGCATCCATGAAGATGCCCAGGCACATCTGTGCTCCACATACCGCTCATGGAAGAAGAATACATATGCAGTGCCCACACACGCCATGATCCAGACAATCCAGCGCATGTGAGAGGCCCACGGGCCCAGCTCTCTCAGGTTCAACCTAAGGCCAGAGCACAGGGTGATCAGGCATAGACAGGCACAGCAGCTCTTGCACAGTCTCAGTAAAACAGCACAAAACATGCATTTAATTATCAATGTCAGAGCAACAAGAGGCACTGCTGATATTGCATCGGGCACCTTGTCAAGCACTGCTTCAGCAAGGCATCCGGTTTTACAGAAAAGTGCTTCTCAGTTTAGCAACTAAACCAAATAATACCAAGTTCAAAGTTTTATTGTCACATGTGCTCAGAGGAACATAGTAAAATTCTTGTGTCATAGTTGCAGGGGCAAGACTAGACAGTCCAATACAGGAATCATAATCTGCAGGTGCTTGACAAGTGTGTGTGGTAATCCATCATTACATCATTTATACAGAATGGTACATGAAACAGGGTAAAAGTAAGACAGACAAAGCCAAAAGACACTGTGTGAGATTTCAAAAATATACTGAAACAGGTGAGGACACCATCAGCCAGGGACTGCGGCTCTGCCAGATGGCACTGTACGAGTTTTCAGCACCGGGGACAGCAGCCACCTGTCAAAATTCAGGACAGTCGCCCCGTGCTCCTCTCCGTGCTCCTCCCTCAACTGTCCAAGGCTGATGAAGCCAGGGACTCCTATGTGGGGGAGGATCACCAAGCCAGGAGGAGGTTCCCCAAACCTCGAGGACCCGGGCTGACCGCAGCCCCAGATCAGGACCGCCCCCATTCCAGCTAATTCTCAAGGATGTTCTTCTATCTTGCCGCAGATGATTGCAGTATCGATTACAGTACTCTTCCTCAACCCGGTCCTTGGGGACCCCCAAACGGTCCATGATTTTCTCCCTCCCAGCTCCCTGCCAGACAGTTAATGTGAACCACCTGGGGTCTCCAAAGACTGGGTTGAGGAACACTGGGTTGGAGCACAGTTCGACTGGTGGTTCGCTGGACCACTGTCAGAGGGTCACGTAGTGTGTATTCAAGAGAAAATTACCACCAGCAACCCCCCCATCCCCCCCAGTTCTGCCACCAGCTTGCTTCCCTTATCCACCTCTCAGAAATCAACATGCCTATGGTTCTTGTTTTTCCTGGTTATTGCATCTATTTTTTGTTAAACAAATCTGATTCCAAATTCAAAATTTAAAAAATATAGGTAGTGATTTACTGACCAAGGAAAAATGTGGCTGTTGAGGAAAAACCAACTGTGAACGCCACTGGCTCCATCTAAAGCCCCCATGGGCACGTCCAACCTCACCAGGACACTTTCTCCAAACTCCTGCCTCTAAAACTTTCCATTGCTTCTGTGTTTATTAGCTCACACCCCACAAACACACACACCTTTCATTCCAGGGTAGGCAATGCGAGATTCTGCACACCATGCACCCATAATGTGCTATGATGGATCCTCTAGTCTAGTTTTTCTCAAATCGGTCCTTGGGGACCCCCCAGGTGGGAGGCAGGGAGCTGGAAGGGAGCAAAAATGTGGACTGTCTGGGGCCCCCCCGAGGACCAGAATTGGAAACTTTGCACTAGTCATGCAAAGGAACTCCTTAAGAAGGTGAACTCAGTACTCATGCCAGCATGCTCTGCAGCTTCTGGGGGTCTCCGGAAGGAACTTCATTTCTGAATCGGACTCCTCTGTCAGGGGTAAGACCTCACCGAAGCTACTGAACAGTCAACTGGAAATTAATTGTGTGGGGTCTTTATAAGGGAATTATGTCTGTCAACCTGGGGTTACTTAGTCGCTTCAAACATGCATCTCAATAAGCTGCTCATTTTTCAGCTTCAAAATAGGGCTGGGCGATATAAATGATATATCAACTTACCGTCACATAAAATTTCAACGATAAGAAAATGAGAAACTTCAATAAACTGTCAATAAGGAACATTGCTTGATAGCAAACAAGGTAAAACTTGTGCCAGCTAAAACTGGAAATACTGTAAACTTGTTTCACCACTTGAAGCAACTGCCATTCAGTAGAACATACAGAATGCAAGCGCTTACAGTAACTGAGAGCAGCATTTAAGGATTCACTTTCAATTTGAAGATATTCAGGAAAAATCAAGTCCTGTGTTGCTTTAAAATGGGGCAGGTTTCTCCATCAGCGATATCAAACCGGATCTTTGAAGCAAGCAGTGAGGCAGAATTAGAAAAAGCACTAACAAGCCATACATAAAGGTCTTCTAAAAAAAACTCTTCAAAAAAGTTTATTTTTGCAAGATTTATTCATTAAAATTAGATTTCAGCTTGATGTCCATTCAATTTGTCACTCTTACTCATGTTCTGAATCTGTTTATGGGGGATCCTAAAGGAATTTTAAGCAAAAACGATGCCTTAAAGTAAAGAAATAATGACATAATTATATTGTGGTAATTATCGATAATGAATGATATGAAAAAATTACTGTGAAAAAATATTTTCCCGTATCACCAAGCCCTACGTCAAAAGACGGCGTTTAAATATGAGAATAAGAAACACCATAAAAGATAAACTCAAAAATTCACACCAGCGGTTTAAACAATATTCTGATTATTTAGCTAAATGTATCATGCAAAGATATTCCTTATCCTTAATCAGGTAAATGTCTGTATGTTCAAGCTGTAACCAGGAAATCGATGGGTCCAGTGCAGAGGACAGCTGTACTCACCAGGGGGCGTAGGAGGCCGCAATGAAAAAGTAGATCACCATTCTATCGCACATGTGGAAGCAGTGCTCAACGGCGCTGTGACGAACGGGAGAGACACAGCATCACGAAAGCTCACCTCCAGCAAAAGGGTGAAGCTGACCTCAAAAAGACCTCGACCGATCGAATGTCCAGACTGACGTCTATTTTCTGATTTGGGGGTGTGGGAAAGAAAAGGGGTAGCTTGAGTGACAGAAAAGAAACACTTCTGCACTTATCAAGGGAAAGGCAGGAGGATTCCCGAGGGACTGAGCCTGGTTCGGCTAAACCCTAAAAAACTCTGGGGTGAAGCGTGACCTGTATCATCTGTCCATTGTGACAGGGGTTCCAGAGCCTGAACATAGCTGCTATTGTTCCATTGGGTGGGGGAGGGGGGTCAGTGCCCAGCTGTCCTGGCTACCTGGGTTGGAAATTTAATAGTAACCCTACGCAGTATGTATGCTGTTCACGATATCAAGTTGAAACCAGTAACGTGAATGTTTTTAAATGCTGTCTCAGATATACACTGGCTTTGTCTTAAAGGTCTAGTGTGCAGCAGACTGATGGGTCTGACCCAGAAATGATGAAACTGAGTAAAAAAAAAAAAAAAACAAGGAAAAGAAATTGCTCTATTTTGGCGTACAGATGCTTATTTTTATACTGCATATCAGGATATTTTCACCCTTAAACAAGCCTCAGTTCTCTCGTTATTGCACCAAATGTTGCATAAACCCAGACTCCTGACAATTCAGGAAAGTAAATGTTTTATGTCAGAAGTCTGTAAAACTACTGATGCTGTATGGGAGAACCATTAGGTAGAATGCACCAAAACTAAAAATATCTTTTTTCAATTCTGGGTAAGGAGGCATCCACTCAACAACAAGGTGATAGGGGGTTTCCCCCCCCCGATTACATCCTGTCCTATAAATGAATGCCTTGCGTATGTGGTTGTTTGCAAGGAAGTCTGTAAGTCAGGAAATTTAAAAGTGGAGTGTACGTGATGAATGCATCATAAACAAGCCATATGAAACGTTCTGAGGACCATATGGTTTGAAGAGCTCCATCATATGTTGTTGCTTTATTTATCTCCACGGGGAAACTGTCTTTTCACCCATCCTATCTCGCTCTCCATGAGAAACACAGACACGTATACAGGTAAGACCAAGTTTGGGGGGTCCCGTTACAGGGTCAGCCTGGGCCCCTGGATTAACTGGAGGTTAGGGGCCTTGCTCACGGGCCCGACAGCGGCATCAGTTTGCCGGCCTTTGGATCTGAACCGCCGACCTTTTGATCACAGGTTCGCACTGACCAGTTAAAGGGCCAGTTACCCCTGAAAAAGGTATGTTTTAAAATGGCTTTCATGCTATCTATCCATAAACATTGTTCTCCTGGTAGTTGCCTAGTTTTTTAGATGTCGGCTGTGAAAATGTCGGTCTTCTCTTGAATATATTGGGACTGAATGGCATTTTTTCAGTGGTGATTAATGCGGCAGAAAAATATTTTGGATAAATTCAAGAACAATATCTCTTACCAGAAATCATGACCCGGTTACTCATTATAATCCACAGACACTGTAGTGAGCAGTGTAATGTAGGAACTATTTTCTTCTACCCAGCTGCAAACAGGGCTGGTATGTTTCTGCTCATATCTTCGCAGTGATATGCAGACAACATAGATGGATGGATAGCAGAGGAGACCCTCGAAAACATAACTTTTTTTCAGTTTTGGGGTGAGCTGCCCCTTTAAGGTGCTTGAATTGATCTTAGCACATTACTCCAGTTGTGCCACAGGAAACAGCAAGCCATATCTATTCTTCTTATTGGGATTTCATGAATTGCATTTTATATTAATATTAATATTTAATGAAGGATTTTGAGCTATTGTTCAAAGAGACAATGAATTTTGTAAGGGGGATAAACAGTTCCAGCCAGTTGATATCAAATCAGCAGCAGGAAAGTACAGCTGACCTCAGGTAAGGTAGCCGTGCATATGAACACAGGCATCATGCGAAAGGTGTAAATAACGCCCAGGGTCTGGCCGACGGAGGGCCTACCGAAGGTGGCTCTTCTTCCAGGAGATGGTGTGAAACACGGTGGACACAATAAAGAGGCCGGACAGGCCGATGCCATAGATCCACGCGGAGAAGGTCTCCCATTCATCGTCAGACAGGAAGTACAGAAGGGAGCTGCCGAGGATGCTGGGAATTATCCAGAGCTGAGGCATTAAGAAAAGTTATGTTAATTTCATAATAACAAACATGATGATAGTATCAACGACAACAACAATAATAATCATGATGTACAGAGGCACTTTTCGTTTAGGCCTCACATCGGTGACATTTCTGACTAACTTCCATAAGCCTATAGATCCACACATAGATCTTAAAAAAAACTTGTGTAACAAAAAACCAGTTTCAGCTTGTTAATCACATCAGCCAAACATCTAAACAAGGGGTGTTTTTTCTGTACTAAGCTTCACTAATTAAGTATTAATTTTATTTCCTGGCTCCATACCAGTACTCAATTCAAAACTAAACTATTAAATACACTTCATCATGATCTGCTGTGTGCTTCATTTTAGTTCTTGCATTCTGCAAAGGGTTTTTATCCCGAAAGTTGTAATGAAGTTAAGAATATTAATAAAACAGTGAAAATAATAATGCTGTGATTCTTTCTATGTTTACCGGTAAAGTGAGAATGCATCTGGAACCTTAACAACACAGAGCGGTATATTTACTCAGCGTTAAGTATTTCTGCACAGAAGAATAAACAGAGTACAGAGGGAAATGGTGCAGAATATGACCATCATGAGGAGCAAATAATGCAAAAACAAGAAGCGTCGTATTTTTATCACGCCGAAATGCAAAAGCTTTGGAGGAAAACAGAGAATAAATCTGATTAAGACTGCGGAGACCTGGAAGGGAATGATATCTTTCTGGCTGAGAGGGTGACTCCCATCAGCCCTTAGCCCCCTCCACCCACTTTCCTGTCGTTCTTCCGTGTATGCCGTGTTTATCATTCCCATCTCAGGCGAGATCCGTTTCAGAGACCCCGAGGCAGCTCTTTGTCTGCACGCCGTGCGGGGCGTCGTACTCACCGCGTGCGTGGCGCAGTTGGCCGCGTGCTCATACTCAGTCGGCTGGTATCGTTTGTTGGACGGAACTCTGCTGTTCATGAATCTTAACAGAAAACAAACAGGGTGTCTTTAATCTTTCCACCTGCCCCCAAGCAGCCTGGCAACATTTGTTTTATGATTTACTCATTTTATAACAGTACAGTTGAAGAGAGCCCTGACATGGCATTTCATTCAGTGGGTCCCCTTCTTGTGCCAGAGGATGATTGATGGTTTAACCTGTTAGAAACCATGTCTGGCAATACACAAACTGAAGTTTGTTTTGTTTAATAGAGTTTAGGAATTTGTTCAACAAATAAAACCACACACAGATGTTTGTATTTATGTCTTTTTGGGGACCGTCCATTCATTTCTATAGGCATAACCCTAACCCCAACAATGATCATAACAACTACCCAGCCCGAATCTTTATTATAAGTAACCAAACAAAATGCAAGACACATATCTTTATAAGTTTTCCCTTGTGGCGACAAAAGTGGTCCCCACAACGTCAAAATAACAGGTTTTTTTTTTTATCACATTGGTCCCCACAATGTAATATATACATAATTCACCCACCCCCACCACACACACACACACACACACACACATACACAAAACATACACAATATATTACCGTGGGTGTCCAAACCAGTACTTTTCATTTACAATACACAGAATAACCTGTAGGGAAAAATCCCCTTTTTAACAGAAGTGGACAATCCATTCAGTCATTTTGGTCCTGCCCTCTGCAAATCAGTGAAATTATCGAGAATTTATTTATGTGTTTCTCTTAAACACAAAAAAGCACACCACACAGGACCTACACATACAAAGATCTGTGCCAATGCAGATGAATCCTGAGACTAAATAACTGAAATAAACATTTTTAAGAATTCTGAAATGCTCTTCAGTGGTGTTCTGCCAAAAATACATTTGGTTATTTTCGCTGTAAAATGACAAAAAAAAATCATTGCACTTCTTTCACTAACCTACATAAAATTCTTTCAATGTTTCATTTTCAATGTTTGCTTTTAATTCTGAAAATACATAGTGCTTGTCATCAGTGGACACTGAGGTGTTTTACCTCTTTAAAGTAATTTTAATCCAAGTCACGTTATAACACATTGCTGTATTTTGTAGTTGCCTGGCAACAGCTGGTAACCATGATCTGGTCCAGCCAGGAATCTGAGCGTCTTTACAACACATATTCACCAACTGAAGCGAAAGACCCAGAGTGCTGATGTCACCGTCGTCATGGTAACCCAGGGTTTGGGGATTGCTTTTTTTTTTCTATTAAAACTCCCTTTTTCCCTGCAAGGTAAAATTAGCATGATTGTGCTAGGAAGACGAATATGAAGACAGACAGAAATAAATATGGAATAAGTGCAAATCCATTCTTACATATGTTAATATTCAGTCTCAGCCCTTCACTTCACTATTGAGGCCTTACATAAAATGAGAACCATATTACAGTATCTGGGTCTATTATGAAATTCTGTTTCATAACACTTTCCCTTATTTACATGGCTCTTTAACAGAAACACTTTAATGTTAATGAACTGCATTTTAATCCAGTCATTAATTATATGCTTTGCACCACATTTGTTAGTCATATGAGAAATTCACAGAGGAATAGAGGTCAGAACAGCGTGTGGTTACGGTAAATGGCCGAGTTTCTTGTCTGCATTAAACCTGGGGAGACTGAAGACGAAGGGCAGGGCATCTGCTGTGCTTCCCATACCGGCACAGAGGCGGAGCTTTCAGCTTTGATCCACGTTAATCAAAGACATGAGTCCATGTCATGTGACATGAATCTGTATCCATAAGAGGCAGACAGGGAAGGCAGGAGCCCTTTGAAAATGCAATTACGTTCCAAACAGCCTCCCTGGTCATTCTGCCGGCTTACAGACCTCAGCAAAATATGGCTGCGATTTAATGTGCTAAAGGTTAAACATTTAAAATCAGGGCTTGAAAGCATCTGCCTTAAAAGGATCGCATGAAGGTAAACTTATATTTAATTTCGATATACAGAAAATAATGATGACTACAGTAAAGAAAACAATTGAAAGAATTAAATGTCATTAAATTAATCTGCAGAATTATACCATTCCTGTGAAATCATGATGACGCCATAATAGTAAATATCCAGGTGTCAGGAAACAATTTCTAGCATCTCTGTAACATTTATGTAAAAAAATAGCTGGTTATCTTTCTTTCATCTGTTTGTCAATAGTAAATATAACTGCATTTGTACAAATAGAAAGTTTTCGTCACAGAGAGAAGCTAATGAGCTTCTAAGGGATCCACTGAGAGGAAGGAAATTAACAATTTAAATGAACAGTTATGCTCTTTCATAATACACCAGCATTCGAGTCTTATATAAATATTCAATGTAATCTCAGGCCATTCATTACACATACAGTTTTCTATATAGTGAGTATAGTTAACTCTGTGCATATGCAGGTGCCATGTAAATCAACCAGCGCTCGATGGGCCTGCTTGTATCCCCTTGTACTCTTCCTAACATGGCCCAAATTTAAATGCTGACACTCATTCAGATTTCTATTAATAGCAAGATAGGAGGACAGCCTACATAGACTAGGAACAGAGTTCATTAAGGTGCTTTTTATGCTTAAAAAAGAACCACAACCTATTCAGTAGTTAACCATTGATAAAACAGTATTTGAAATATATGGCCCTAAAACTGAGATGCCCCAATTGCATCGACCAACTATCGGTATCGGCCAATAGTTAAAAATGAGCCGCAGTCTCCCATCATTATTCCACGTCTTCATCAATATATTTCTTTTTATATAGAAGCATATAATGTTAAAGTTATATTGCCAAACCTCCAAGGCAAATTTAAATCTGGCCAAGCCTATACATAGCTGTCTGATGTTTATGATAATTATGAGATTTGTGGCAATTATGAGATTTATAAATTTTCTAATTTCATTCAGGTGCAGTAGAAAGGGAAACCCAAAGGGACGCAGATGTTTGCAGATGTTCTGAGTCCAGCTTATTGCCCTGAAGATTCCATTACGATTCCACCGGAGCTCATTTGTTTTAAACACCTTCACACCTTTACCCTAAATGTCAGGCCCTGTTTCTGTTGTGATAAAATCAGGAAATACTGAAGGACGCTACTTTGATTCTGCTGCCGCAGTTCAGGAGTCAGACTGAGAACAGCTCTCCAATTTCCAGTCAAGCTGAGGATCATAAAGAACAGAGGCTACAGGAAGCTGATTTAGGTTCATCATAATTGGATTATATCGATTGTTTGAGTGAAATGGAAAAAGCACTTTTGAACTGCGTGTTTTTCGAAAAAGTCCAACAGGAGCAACAGGTCAATCATGAGTATAAACATCAGTTATTGTAGATAAAAACATTAACTGACTCAGCTTCAAAGCACAAGTACAGCATTTATATGTGAGAAACAATGCCTCATACAACTAGGATATTCAAAAAGGAATCATTTAGATTGGATATACAATCACTGGCCACTTTAATAGGTACACCTGTTCAACTGTTCATTGAAGTAAATATCTAATCGGCAAATCATATGTCAGCAGCCAAGGACAGATCAGGAGCTTCAGTTAATGTTCATGTCAAACACCAGAATGGGGAAGAAAGGTGATTTAAATGATTTGAATGCAGCATGGTTGTTGGTGCCAGACAGGCTGGTATGAGTATTTCAGAAACTGCTGATCTATGAAGATTTTGATGCACAGCCAACCGAAAGCAGCTGAAAAATAAAAGAACATCCAGTGAGCAGTGGAACTCTGGGCAAAATTGACTTGTTGATGGCAGAGGTTCGGAGAAGAATGGCCAGACTGGTTCAGACTGATAGAAAGGCAACAGTAACTCAAATAACTACCTTTTACAACCAACGTGTGCAGAGGAGCATCTCTGAAAGCACAACATGTCAAACCTTGAAGCAGATGGACCACAGCAGCACAAGACCACACCGGGTGCCAGTCCTGTCAGCTAAGAACAGGAAACAGAAGCTACAGCGGGCATGTGCTCACCAAATTTGGACAATGGAAAAACACTGCTTGCTCTGATGAGACTCAGTTTCTGCCGTGACATTTAGACGGTAGGTGTAAACAACATAAAAGCATGGATCCATCCTGCCTTGTATCAAAAATTCAGGCTGGTGGTGATGTAATGGTGTGGGGAATATTTTTATGGTACACTTTGGGTCCCTTAGTACCAACTGAACATCGCTGAAATGCCACAGCCAACCTAAGTACTGTTTCTGACTATGTCTATCCCTTTATGACCACAGTGAACCCAGCATTTAATGGCTACTTCCAGCAGGATAACGCGCCATGTCACAAAGCTCATATCATCTCAGACTGATTTCCTGAACATAAAAATGAGTTCACCGTACTCAAACAGCCTCAACAGTCACCAGATGTCAATCCAATATACCACCTATGGGATGTGGTGGAACGGGAGAGTCGCATCATGAAGGTGCAGCTGAAAAATCTGCGGCAGCTGTAAGATGCTGTCACGCCAACATGGAGCAGAGTCCTTATGCAATGTTTCAAGCTTGTTGAGTCGATGCCGCAAAGAATCAAGGCAGCTCTGAAGGCAAAAGGGGGTCCAACAAAGTACTAGCAAGCTGTACCTAATAAAGCGGCCGACGAGTATATAGTATCTGCTACGTCTATCTCTAACTACAAAAAAGGAAACGTGGTAACACTTTACGTAATACCATGTTTTTATATGAAAAAAAAGTCATCATTTGAATTTATATTGGCAAATAATTAAGAGCCAATGACTGGATCATTATTACATTGTTATGTAGCAATAAAGTAAAGTCAGCTGAGTACCGGAATCTACTGAAATCTACTAAAAATTGTTTTAACTCTTTGAAAAAGACATTACTTCTGTCAAACCTCTACATCTGTTAAAGTGCATTATCTTATTGATCAAAATGCAAAATGTTATGAAAGTGCTGGATTTGTGCCAGTAAGAAGCAGTCAGTAGTAACTGCCACAAATAACATTCAAAACAGGAAGTCAACATAAAAAGAATAAAACATAAATGCGAAACAATGTTTGTTTATTTCCTGATTATATTATTGTCGAAAGACGACAAAACAAGAGTGAATATGCTTTAAGTGAGTGGGAAATGGGGGGGAAAATAAAAACTTTCAATCAAGATAAATGCTAAACGTTAGCTACAAATCAAAAGGATTTTATCCAGTTAGGAGAAACGCAACTGTCACAGAACACAAAGGGTCAGTATCAGATTGACAATCTCTGGGTTACAGCAAGGCCTTTTTAAACAATGAGATGGCAAAGGGGCACATATATCATATTAAAGAAAAAAACAACTGCAGATGTATTAGCTATACTTTACATCAGAAATCAGCCTACATGAATTTGCAATATTCTATAATTCAAGAACATTGTATTGTCAATATGCAACATAAAAACAGGCGATGTTGAAATATAATAGGTAAGGCAGGTATATAGAAACAAAATTATCGATGGTGAAATTAATTTATATATATATATGCATTAAATATAATATTAAACATAATATATTAAATATACTATAAAATAAAGATGCAATAACAACATTTGTTTATTGCAGTAATATACAATTTGCATTAAAAATAAGTGTAAACTGAATAAATTTAATAGCTTTATGTTTATATACATAGCATGCAGCAACATATAAACCGGAAACTTCGGTCGGAGTTACACATCGAGGCAACACGTATGTTACATTATATAAAATATTCATGATATATAGTTTAGATGTGTAATAATATCTTCTATAAACACGTTCTTATTATACATCTGTTAAAACATGCACAACGTGATGATTTCATTCGCATATAGGAGCATAGTACTGAGGAATAAAAATACAGCTTCTTAAACAAATACAACATCCAAAATAAACATGGCAGTCACACGGGTCTGGGTTTATAACTCCAGATGTTTTTATACCTGCTAACAATACGAACAAGTGGTGACACGGTGAACAGAAACTTTAATTTAAAAGAAGAAAATAACTAAATTGTCGCTAACAACACTAAAAAGCCACAAAAGTAGTTCCCTTTAATATCAGACAATATCAAAGGACTACATCGTTTAATATTCAATGCATTGTGTTCGTCCAGGGGGAGATAAGGCAGGCAGTCCCTGCATGCAACACCAGACATTCCATTTCCACATACAAACAACACATATGCAACAGCTAGAACACAGAAATGCCCGCAGAAATCCAAATGTGTAAACCCATATCTATATTCGATTGGCTATACGTATGCAAATTAGAATAATTTCTTGGTAAACAAGTGGAAAGCGTGATATTAAGTATTTTTCGCGTTACCGTTTCTAATCTCGCCGTTTTCATTCCAGATTATTTAACTGCGGATTATATGCATCGCTTTTCCTATTTATGGTCGTAAGTGCATACGATTAAATTTACCATAGCCTACATTCAGCAGCAGATCATCCAGTCGTTTGCCACGAAAATAGACATGTAGATAAAATAACGAAATGCACGGAACTTGATTTTTTTGGCATTTCAAGAACAGAAAGCGGGGGATAAAACCACGTACCTTACAAGATTCATTTAAAAAGGTGCGATTGGAATGCAATCGTCAGTTGAGATGATGCTGTAAGTGGGGTTAGGGTTAAAAAGCGGGAGGTATAAGCTCGCAGCCCTGCTCCTACTTCCTATGTGCCTGCCTGCCTGTCCCTACCTAAAAAGCCACAATAGGAGACCATCGCTTTTAAATCATTAGGGTGCAAACGCACTCAAACGGCCGGAAGTCTGCGCTGTGCGCTCGGTCTTCGGGGAACACCGTCTTCCTGCGAATACATTATGAACAGAAATGCAAACTGTTCATATACACAGTAAAATGACGAGTATGGAGCCTGTTGACATTTGTGTTGATTATATGGAACCAGTCGCTGTTAACATTCAACGTGTATTTGACAGCACTTATATAAAAGCTTTTTTCTCAGTGTCTCATTACATATAGTACTACAAACCAATTGCAGTGAATACATTCTAATTTATATAATTTATCATCATGTGATATAGAAATCTTATACCTTCCTTTCATCCATCCATCATCTACAATCTTATCTTATAACGGACATGGTCGCGGGTACCTATAGCAATATCCAACCTCTAATTGATAATAAGAGCTACTAAAATATGTTTAAGTACTTTCTAGTTTATGCAATTACATCTCATATTAGGTTCACGGAAGGCTGTGCTATTAGTGGTCCTGTGCCATCCGGGATATTGCTGATTTCGTTAAGCTTATCGAAATCAGCAATATCCCGGATGGCATAGGATATTTCGACGTGTTTACACAATTTATTGAAAGAATTGATAGAAGTACATTTAATGGAATTCAATACATTAACAACCCACATTATTTAGATTTAGGATAAGAATTATATACACAGGGCCTTGTAAAATGTTCTTTAAATTTGGTAAATGAATAACAATCACAATTTTTCTAATCGTATTGCTCATGTCATATGCACTGTATTACAATAGGCCATGTGTCAATGTGTTTTATAAATGTACGTAATACTGCTATGATGACCAACATATTTTTCAACAATGTCACTCATACAGCTACATTATTCTTTTTTTTTTTTGTAAACACATTGCATCGTTACCCATCTTGCAAACTGAAATGACTGAAATACAAACATGAATTGAATCTGCTTTTGGGATTCCAATACTTTGACATTTATCCCATGAAATTTGTTTCCCCAAAGATGACAGAATCATACTGGAAGTATCTCTCCTTACCAGCTTTCCTACAAGCATTTGAATAATATAGTGAGCATTACGCAGTATCAATTTTCACTGTGTTCAAGGTCCAGGTTGCTTATTTCCTCATTTAAAACCAATTTAAAATATTTCAATGACTTGCATTCTGCAACTAAATTGTGATGGCTAGATGACTGGATCAGAGCATCTCCAAAATGGCAGGTCTGGTGGTCTGTTCCCACTATGCACTGGTCAGTATCTACCTGGCCCATTAATGTGCATGGGGTGCGAAGGATGGCCCATGTGGTCCGATCCCACAGGAGAGCTACTGTAGCACAAATTGCTGAAAAAGCTAATGCTGGCTATGATCGAAAGGTGTCAGAATACACAATGCATCACAGCTTGCTGCATATGTGGCTGTTTAGCCACAGACCGGTCAGTGCCCATGCTGACCCCTGTCTACCTCTGAAAGCACCTACAATGGACATGTGGACTTCAGAACTGGACCGTGGAGCAATGGAAGAAGGTGGCCTGGTCTGATGAGTCACATTTACTTACACAGGAGGATGATGGTGGTCTCCCTTTATTTAATCTTTTAGACAACATATAAATCTCAAAACTGAAACATAACAAGGCTGGTACACGTGATCCACATTGGTCACCGAGTTTAAAGCTTATACAAGTTTAGATGCCTACACGTATTTTCTGGCTGGTCATGTTCATGTGACTGGCTATGGGAGATTCCTGGAAAACATCACTTTCAAATCCAGTTGAAGGGGGGGGGTGGTTATCCTTATCTTATTCATGCTGCAATATCTAATGACCAGTGGTGAGCAGGGCTCCCTTAACCACTAATTAGCAAAGATAACTTTTTTTGTTAACGGATTAGCGTTCCTGCGAGCCATGAACTTTTACTTCTGCTAACTGTAAATACGCTAACATTTTTTGCAGGTAAAGCTTAACAGTCAAAAACCTCTGTAAACGCTAAAATCGTACATATTTGTTCCTGTCTATTACGAGTGTGATTGCAACAGTCCATCTGGCACGCTGTTGGCTGACCACGTGTAAACACAAAACATGATTGGTCGATAACTTGTCAGATTTAAGGTGGTCTGGACTAAATGTAAGTGAACAAAGATAAAGTCATTTTTAAATTGGGATACCCTGAACTAAGCAGTGAATATAAGCATGTATGACGAAGCTGGATTTCTTGCTCAGATGGATAAATTTAAGATACCCTAATTTAAATGTACTTTAATTATCTTCGTTCACTTACATTTATGCCAGATTACCTTAAATCTGACAAATTATCCAGCTAAGCAAGAAATCCTGCTCAGTGATACAGACCCCCAGCTGTATATTCTGGGTCGTGACTATCAGAGACCTCCTTCCTAGTTCTGGCTTAATGGTGCCATGTTTGTAGTCCCCAAGAGGCTTCAGTGAGGGCAAAATGTCAGCTTGGGCCAGTTTCTGAAAAAAATGCTTATCTTGCGAATCTTGGAATATCATAGAATGACAACTCCAAGGCAGATTTATTCCGGAGACTACAGAATATAAGGATACTCAACTGGGTATAGCCCTAAAGATCCCCTGGTAATCACTCTAGTCCAGGGGTCTCCAACTCCGGTCCTGGAGAGCTACCGTCCAGTAGGTTTTCTATCATACCCGGCTTCTGATGAGCCACACCTGTTCTCAGGCAAATACCAGGAGCAGGTGTGGCTCACCAGAAGCCAAGTGGGACAGAAAACCTACTGGATAGTAGCTCTCCAGGACCGGAGTTGGAGACCCCTGCTCTAGTCCAACAGATGGGACTACTGTTTTAAACGGGTTTTAGCTCTCTAGGTATGTTTCAGAGCCAAATACCAAACTGAAGCTAAATTCACATGGTGAAGGTTAGCGGTCATCATTAGCTTCCTTTAAATTGTTTAGTTTAAAGGAAGCTAATCTGCTTGAAAACTAAATACGTAGCTGTTACTCTTTCTGCGGTATGCGGCGCTGTTTATGGAAAGTTCGTTTGATCAGCACTAACAAAGTAGACCAAACCATTTTTTGCATTGTAGGGAGGGGATTTTTTTTTTCGATCACTATGTCAAGGAAAATTAAGAATATAAAAAATAAGCTTTTATGTGATTCATAAATACTATGTCTAGTTTTCACAAATATCTTTTTGGCAAATTATTCCGGCAGATTGTTTAAAGGTTAGAAGGTGTTTTTGGGCCCCCCCTTGACCCAGGGCCGGGGACAACTGACCCGATTCTCACCTTCCTCTTGGTAGGCCCTGAGGCTGGGTATGTGTGCATCATTTACCAGAGGAAGCGATGGCATCAGGATGCACTGTGGGAACATGGCAAGCTGGTGAAGACAGTGTGATGCTCTGGGCAATGTTCTGCTGGGAAACCTTGGGTCCTGGCACTCATGTGGATGTTACTCTAACACATACCACCTACCTAAACATTGTTCCAGACCAAGTACACCCCTTCACGACAAAGGTATTCCCTCATGGCAGTGGCCTCTTTCAGCAGGAGGTGTGCCCTTAAATGATGGTTTGAAGAATACGAAAAAGTTCAAGGTGTTGACGTGGCCCCCAAATTCCCCAGATCTCAAGCCAATTGAGCATCTGTGAGATATGTTGGATACACAAGCAGATCCACGGAGGCCCCACCTATTTACTCCTGTCATGACAGTACGTAGAATTGCTCCATTTTGCCTCTTCATGCTACAGTATTGATTGTCAAGTCTCATCCCCACTGTGACTATAGATTGCATATTCTCCCCGTGTTGTGCAGTCCAAAGATAAGCAGGTAGACTAAGTGGCATCTCCAAATTGCCCAAACTGCATGACTAGCTATGTGTATATGTATATGTATATGTGTATATGTATATGTATATGTATATATGTGCCGTGCTGTAGACTGGCATCCTATGCAGGGTGTACCCCAGCCTTATGTTGCTTGGAATAGGCTACACCTTACTAGTACAGCCGCCCCCCCCCCCCACCCCCACCCCCACGTGAGTTGTGCCTGCTTGTTTATCCAACATATTTCACAGATGCTCAATTGGCTTGAGATCTGCGGAATTTGGGGGCCAAGTCAACACCTTGAACTTTTTTGTGTCCCTCAAACCATCATTCCCCTTCCTATTACCTTTAAAATCACCATAAGTGAGAGGGAAATTCTTTCAATATAATTAAACGCTCCTATACAGGAAATTATACCGGTTATGGAGGGGGAAGCCAAAAACATAACGTCCAGGATAAAGAACTTATATTTGAAACTTATTTAAAATTAATTTGTAGTTCGTATATCCCCGCATACCTGTCATACGTCGCTGGCTTGAGACCAGACGACGGCGCCCCAAATGCGCAAGCGCACGGTGAGGGAAACCCCGCGGCGGGTAGACGCTGGAGCTAGCTAAAATAACAAACCTTAACCTGGATCAGCAACGGCAGCATGAAGAAATGAAGGGAAACCAGTAAGCAGTGTCACTGGCCGGTCTCATGTGATCGTTATTCTCGCTGGATGGTGTCCGTTTGGATGGTGCCGAGCTCATGAACCTGGCCAGCCAGAGCGGGGAGGCCGGCGGCTGCCAGCTCCTCTTCGCTAACTTCAACCAGGACAACACGTAAGGAGGCATTAGGGCGGCTTGCAAAGAAACATCGGGGATCCGGAGGCCTGACGCTTTTAAAAACACTTATGGGGACTATAGCGATCTTCAGCGTTCCTGTGTAGTTTGCAGCATTACGCTGCGCGGGTGCCCGATTAAACGTGAAATCGTATATTCCTAATTTTTTTAACAAGATGTCCGAAATTGACGGAGCCTCCTTAAGCATACTTAAATTTGTGTGTGTATATATATAAACCAGTTAATAAATGGCCAAAACATTCAGACTTGATGATGCCCACGTGAAGTCCAGTTCACAGTAGTTAGTCTGATCCGTTTGAGACGCCACATGCCCATGCATACTGGTCAATTATCTAACATATATTTCTGCTTGCTCGCTGACTAACCAGCTTCATGGTACAGATCACTGTGCTTTAGATTATTTACACTGACAGATATATAACTGTAACTTTGACCACATAATATAAATACAC